AGAGAAAGAGAAAGAGAGATTTAGAGGATGATGAAGACAATGACACAGAGTACTGGTTTAGCTATTAATAAGGAATACTATTAATAATTAAAAAATTATAGAATTATGATTAAAGGCAGTCATAATCCACTTAAAAGTCGTTTGACATTATGTGACCGTTACGTGACATTAAGTGATTGCGACATAAAAACCTTCCTTCAATTAAAATCTTTGAAAGTCTGTTCGTGATTAATCTGGGACAAGAGATGCAGGTTGCATTCGGTAATCCTTCAATGCCGTCAGTGATCTGTGAATTATTCCAACGTGTGAGAGAGCGATTCATTTTAAAATACGTCGTGGATTGATGATACTGCATTATCACAGAATTTCAGACAATATTTGGCCCAAACTGATTTACTTCTGCCGACCCGTCACGAACATGCTGAGCTATTCTAGTTTAAAATTGCAGATGGAATGACGCCCTTCAAAATGAACCTGGCGAGAACGAACTAAAAATAAAGACTTTTACGTAATATCAAGTAAAATAAAGTTTAAAAAGTAAAAATAGAACCACATTTATAGTTTCATTAAAGTGAAAGTGAAGTCAAGTTATTCATATAATTGTGTCAAAGACAAAAATCAGGTGATTTTTTAAAATTTTTTTTGGCGAGGAGAAATTTTAAATTTAGTTATTACCGTGCTTGTAAGAAATAAAACCTAATACTAAATAATAACATTTTACTTGCGCTTCTAAGAAACTTGTTCGACAGAAATTAAAAGATATATTGAATACCACCAACTTCCTTGGCTTGACTCGCTGATGGAATGAAAATTCTGTAATTAAATAGATTAAAAAAGATGTGATTACCACACACATATATACACACGCTTCTCTCTCTCTCTCTCTCACTCTCTCTCTCTCTCTCTCTCTCTCTCTCTCTCTCTCTCTCTCTATATATATATATATATATATATATATATATATATTAGACCTGGGTATGACGATAAACTGCATCCGACAGCAAGGCCTCTGATAAGGAGATCGGAGTTTTTGAATAGCGTGGAACCTCCTCGTAATTGCTGGTGTTCCCAGGACTACCGTGACCCGAGCTGCTAGCACCTGTTAGTGTCCCAGCTATGAGCAAATAGTGAATCCCCAAACAAAAACAAAACACTATGAAAATATGAAAAAAAAAAAATTATAGTAAAAATAACAACAATGCATTTTTATATAAAAAATAAATTAGTAACAATACCTATTTATAGTAAAATTAGCAACGATATATTCTATAATAGAACTGCCAACAATGCATTTTATAGTTGAATTGCCAACAGCACATTTAATAGCAAAATGACGAACAATACGTTTTCATCTGTAGTTGTAGACATACGATTGAATATATGTTGTTTTCAAAATATTTAGATATTAAATAACCCATAGATCTTAATATGCTACTAAACAAAATCAACCAAACCAACACACACTGATATATATATATATATCTTACTTATTATAAAACGCAGATTGTGTGTGTGTGTGTCTGTACGTTTATATATTGCATCGGATTTCCTACATTTTTCAACCGATTTCAACAAAACTTCACAAGACTACGTAAATTACCTTGCGGTAGTTCTGACAGCGCCAAAAATTGGAAAAACACAATTGTTTTTGCACAAAATCAATTTGAAAACATGATTAAGAGGCATTAATGAAAGGGGGACAACTCATATCGAGTTATACTTATTAATATTGAGTTATCGAGTTATACTTATTATAAAACCCAGGTTGGTTGTTGTTTATGTGTGTGTGTGTGTTCGTTTATATATGGGATCGGATTTCCTACATTTTTCAACCGATTTCAACAAAACTTCACTTTTTTGGGGGGTAGGTAGTGTTTCTTATTGTCTTACACTTTTTTTCTTTATTTTTATTCAGAATGCTTTAAAAATTCCATTTACAAGACAATTGTTTATAATAAAATTCTATTCAATCGGTAGACTCATAACGATTGAAAACAATGTTTTTTGTTTGAATTTGGGTTTGACCAATTCGTAAAAAAAAAAAAAAAAAACTAATTAAGACATGCGTGTCTGTCAACCTTAAACAATAATGTTTGTCAATTTTATTTTTCAGTCATTATGATGGTCGATACTTGATCTATCTCTTACTGTTACATCCCAGGCAACGCCCGGCTCTACTGCTAGTATATATATATATATATATATATATATATATATATATATATATATATATGGAAAAACATATATAAATGTGTATATATAAAAAATTACTATTTGCGTTATATTTAGGGGATACATTTGAGTAGACATCTGCTTTTAAAAATGTACAATTGTGGATTTTCGAGAGCCAATAGTTGGTTGATTTTGTTTAGCCGCATATCAACCTTTATGGGTTACTTAATGCTGAAATCTAAATATTTTGTACGAATTTTTGGTGGATGAGGAGATAATATTGGTCTTAGTCATATAAGTCCTACTAATTAACCCATACCTAAGTGGAGAAGAGGTGTATGCATATCTTTTTCCAAGGCCACTTGTGCGCAACTGAAATTGGAACTCGGTTCTCCGATTGACAATTCTGTGCCATTATCCATTACACCACCCGCGCAACCAAGCTTACAGCACCTGGTCACCTATCTAGGTACTGACCAGACTCAACGTTGCTTAATTTCGTTGATCGTGCGGGAACTAGTCTTTCAATGTTATGTGTTCGTAAGCCTCATTATTAAATGATAATATAGCGTTTAGAGTAATAAGAAATAATATCGGATTATAAATAAAAATCCATTAATTCCTTAGAAATGAATCATTACTTAGATAGGTCGCGCATTATACGGTGAAATATACAGTGAAAATTTTAGATTAAATCTAAATTATTCCCACATAAACACACATACAAACACGCAATAATATACATATATATATATAATATACTTTAAAGTATTCTAATCATCAAAATTACCCTGAATCCTACACGGAAATTGTTAGTCATGGGTTAAGATTTGGATCGACGAATCTGACTCAGTAGCGTCCGGACATGCTATGAATTTTTTTTTTCTTATAAGATGCAAATCAGTGTTTTTACAATAAAACTGTAATTAACCAACCGATCTTGGTAAAATACCAGGATAGACTTTTATTTAAATGAACAACACATCGTGCTGTTTTCCTAAAAATCTATCCTTATTAAAGTGTGGATAATTGTTTCGCCGTTCCAGGTTTTAGTAAACATTCAAACATAGGTTAACAAATTTTGACTTATAAATAAATTCAAATGACTGTAACGTCTATTTTAGTAAAATGTCGCATATGCCTGAATTTATTATTATTATTATTATTAATGTGGGTACCGTGATATCATATAACTATTGTCATTCTTTCAGTGTATTTGATTTTGTCAACTTTTCTATTGTTCCTATAATTGGAGATGTTGTTGCTTTCCAGATAAATTCTTTACTTGAATATTCTCATCTGCATCTCTTTTAATAATAGACCACAAGTTTTCTATTGGATTGTTATCTGGGGAAGCTGTGGATTATTTAATTCCTTTAATGTCTTTGAAGCTTTTTTTTAAGCAAGGTGGGCAATAATCATCTTTGTAGAATATGAAGAGGTAAATTACCTGAATATACTCTTTAGTTTAAACCTTCTTAGTTGTAACCATTTCCACTAAAATACGCCTTAACTAACAACTTATAATAATCCTCTATATATACCTTCACATATATTCTATTGCTTACACTATTAAGGATGTATATTGCCTCGTTCAGATTCCTGATATGCCACTTACCTCCAGGTTAGACGTTCGAGTTTGGATAGGATTTACTAATCTTGCGTATATCTTTGCTTTAGCATGATAGAAATTGAAGCAATAAACAAAAAAATATGTCCTTGCGTATTTCATAATTAGATCACATAATATTTTCTATTATATATTTTCTTTCTATAACTTCGATCAAGTGTAAAATTTTGTTCTCTGTGACTATCTTTGCGTTTTACCAAGATTTCTTTTCCCTCTGTTGACACACAAAATGTTTCTAAGCCGTTCCATAGGCAAACAGATCCAACCACGCACTATCCATCACTGATAAACACACGTAGATACACAAGCTGTTTTACACGGACACACACATATTGACTGACACACACTTCAAGACGCACACTTTGTCGCAGAAGTACTCGCTCATGCTAATAACCTTCCCTGGACTATTATTCGGTGACACAAAAGAAAAATGAATTAAAAACATGCCCAGCCGGGCCTGGCATTCTCAAGTTGAATTTATGAATAAACTATCAAGTTATCCGACATTTTCATCTTCCTAATCGATAATCAATCAATACACTTTTTTTTCTCCCGACTCTGGTCAGCATCACAAGCCACTGCCTTCGTGCATCACCCCATGCGCTTTCGTGGTGTGGTATTTGGTGGGGGTCAGTTTTAAGAGGTGACGTACTTTATGCAAAGTTCCATGGAAATCCGTTTGCCGACAAAGTCGGCTTTTTACACTTGGACACTTCCACGGCTGTTCTGTGGAACTTTCTTCTTTGAGTTTGGTTTCAGGCATTATTGTTTCCGTTAGTAAATGTTTTTCTTTCTCTTTTTATATTTTATTTATTTTGAATCTGTCAGGAAGATTGCGTTTTGCATAGTCTTGGGCCTATGCTGACTTCAGTTCTCTTGGAGCCGATGATGAGAACCCGGGGTGGAAGAAAACACTCGTCGTTTAACTGAGGGATCAAGTGAGAGAAAAAGAAAAAGAAAAAAAAAATGCAAAAAAATAAAGGCAGAAATGGAGAAAAGTATAAAGTAGAGAAGGGAAATAAAAGAAGACTGGCGTGGTTGCATTTTGCAAGATGAAAAGAGAAAAGGGAAGAAAAAAGACAAGAAAAACAAGAGATAGTGCGTAAAGAAGAGAAGTATAAAACTGATACAGGTTAAATATAATAAAACAAATTTTGAGAAAAGGAACGTGGTTAGAAAGAAAGAAATATTAGCAGACTAGGAGAAATAGGCAGTTATAAACATAGATAGATAGATAGATAGATAGATAGATAGATAGATAGATAATGTATTTTAGTCTCTCAATGCAAAAGTTTGGAAAATCAAAATATGAAGGCCATCATTTACCTGGGTACGAGCTACTCCATTTGATTAAGCTTTTAACTTCTATCGCTTCATCTTCCGAGTACATATTAATCAAGTCAAACACAAAGCCAAATTAAAGAATGGACCTCGCAATCTATAGTTTGCATGTCCAATAAGTTGTTGAATACATTGTTAACAAATACTTACAGTGAGTTATATAAAGAATATAAAATAGATAGATAGATAGATAGATAGATAGATAGATCTGTATAGAAAATGTTTTGAGTTAGATGGTAGGGCTGAACAACATAAAATACATTAATTTAAAAGTTGTTCGAAAGAGATGTTTTTAAACAGCCATTGTCATTTATTTGTGGTTATAAAACGCATTCTGAATTTGTTATAACCATAAACTGTAGGCCGATGCTAATTTCGTGGCACTATGAAACTCCAATTTATTCTTAGAGTTAATAGGCTGTCTTAAATATCTCCTTAAAGAAAATCATAGAATAACGCCTCCTTTTCCGTTACTTTCCGTTTCCTTTAGCTGAATCATTTGTTTATTTGTTTTGTCACATTTATATCTTCACCCGATCTTTTTTTTATAGTTCCATCTTCCGTTATTGACTGCATAAACTCAACATTAATTATCATTATCATTATTATTGGTTATTTCTTAATATCGTCATCGTTTTCATCATGATAGACACTGTATATCTTCCCAATCTTCAGCTTCGTTTTGCGGTTGATATAGTTTCATGTTTTTTAACATTATCAGGATATTTTTGTCCTGCATTCATAGTAAACCTTTCATTTTTCATCAGCATTATTTCAAGTGTTACTCGACTTTACTATTTTCCTCTTTCTTGATCCCCTCCCTAAATTATTATTGTAGCCATAATTATTGTTTTCAACTTTTGGTAGTCTGTCTAATTTTATTGTCTAACCCAATGTTTTCACATTAAAATTGGTATTAACAAAACGATGCTGGTTAAGTTTCAGCATATACTTATGATGGTTAGCCGTTCGTATCTGAGTATCCTTGTCTGTTAGGGTGGCAGGCCAATCTCTGTTGCAGACACCTGCTCAGGCACATTTGTGTTTGTGCAACACCTATAGAGCCCACCCGTGGTTTATAATGCGGACTTTAGCTACAATTCACTCGCATTAATAGCAACGGATAGTTTATACTGTAGATTGAATGACAAGTCACCTCAATACTAGATTCTATTTATAGATAATTATAATTTAATACTGAGTTATTGAGTGATAATTTCAACAAGGTCCTCATCATGTAATGACCCTGGATTCATGTATGGTTTTTGAGAGACGACATTATTATGAACCCAGGGCGCTCTAACGATGCTTTATCACCAAGTTCTGTTGATTCTCCGTTACCTGTGAGAGTACCATATGCCCACAGATGCAGTCTGATTATCTCGTTTGATATCAACCGTAGATCAGTCAGATCGATCAAATCTGAAGTGGAAATGATATCCCGGCATTTGGCGACAAGAGGGTAAGCATTAGACGTCCATACTTAGCATAAAAAGCAAAAACAGATGAATGTTACAAAAAACGTGGATCAAAGAAGAAAATAGAATTGAAGGAATCAGTTATATAATTAACAAAGTAAGAAAAATAAAACACGGCTTGTGGATAATCAGACAACAGTACATCTGGGATCGCTTTCTCATGTCCATTCAATGAATGTTTAACTCGTGCAATGAACAGAGACTACATCCGACTGATTGCTGGTAATCCTGAACAATCCTTCACAAAGAATGCCTTCACCTTATATAGATACACAAAGCATTTTATATATGCGAGTTATTTGTACGCTTATGTCAGGGGGGAAGTGGCGACTAACAAAGGAGAACATATCTCTGGTACTCTCTTCAGTCTTCTTGCCGTGTTCAATGATTTTCTGAAAGATGCCAAATCGTGCTCGGATTCTAAATTCCTGCTGGTTTTGAAACAATTTTCTTCGTTTTCTTCTTCTTCTTCTTCTTCTTCTTATTATTATTATTATTATTATTATTATTATTATTATCAAAATCAGAAGATGTAGAAATACTGCCATCGTTATTTTCATTGTCATCATTATATGATTACTGATATTGTTATAAAATTATATCCCATTGTTTTTCTAAATCTTTTCTTTGTTCTCGTGCACGATATTCCCCCCCCCCCCCCCTCCCAGTCTCTCTTTGAAAGTTTCTTTCCTGATCCATTTAAATGTAAAAAAAAAATCCCGCTTTGCGTTAAAAACAATGTGTTTCGATTTTTTTAATCTTTTTCTGCTCTTTTCGTAAAAACCCAAGAAAATGTAGATTTCCGATTTTCCTAGCGACGTTAAAAAAAACTAACCGAAAACTTGATTGTACAAGTCAACATTTTTACAATGAAATTTTGGTAAAATTTTCAGGGTATACGTATATCTATATAATAAATATACCATGTGAATTTCAGCTGATAATATCTGTTTTATTTAGAAGTATTTACAATACTTTGGCGTTTTGGGATTTCGATGATTGCTATTGATGCTGTAACTAAATACAGTTATTTAGTTACTGAAATTTTTTGGTTGTGAGAAAGATGCAATGTTAAATAAGAAACAAATTATTGATAAGTTACTGAGTTATCGGCACGCAACGTTGAAAACTGCGAAAAAGTTGAACAAAGATCATATGACAAAAAGAAATTGCCATTATGAGATTAAAATTAAAACATGGCTTTAAGAATGACACAGAAAGTCAAAGAAAAAATGAAAAGATAATAAGTAATCAAATTAGATTGACATGTGATAAAAATATTTGGGAAGCTAGTGTTGCAAATGTAGACAAAAAGAAAAAGATATAGGACATTGGCTAAAGGCATGACAGTTTTTGAAGATCTTCACTTATATTAAAGTCTACAGGAATTGCCATATCAATAAGAAAGTACATTCTATTTTTGCGCTCTTTGATCACAAATGTCTGCGCAATTATGTCTTATCTTTCTTGTCAATGTGTAAAGTCCAATAAAATAGTTACAGTTCCTATGCCTGTAACCAGGTTCTTGCACTTTCCTTCCCATAAAAGTTTAAGATTTTACAGTGCAAATATATTGGCCCACTTTGTCATAACGATTTTTATATTCGATGGATGCTATTACTGTGAAACTTGATACAAGATGGTTAATTATTTTTAGATATTCATCACATTATCAGCATTTGGCGTCAGCACAATTTGTCAGTATATTTACATTTCTAGTTAGCAAGTATTGGTTATTTGCAGCAAGAATAAAACCTTCAGTTTCATCAGTAATCCTACACGACGTAGCCAGTGATGGGTTTGTTTTGCACGGGTAGTGTTGACCACGAGGAGCTTTATCTTGCTATCGTTTCTCTATTTGTTCCATAGCATTGCCTTCTCTTTTTAAGTTTTTTGCCGCTGCAGTAGAGGATAATGACTTACTTTCTCTTCTTCATTCATTTGAAAATACCTTTTGAATGTGTTGGCTTCCTTTATTACGCAATAACATTTCTTATTTCTTTCACGTTCTTTGACACAGATCATCATCCAGTCTTCTGAAGTTTCTAGGTATCTTTGAAGACTGATTGTTGTCGTTTTATAAGACAGTTATAGTTGAACTAAATCCCTGCCTCCTTCGAATCTGGACACACTGACGATCAACATTGGCCATAGGATGATGCATGCCGTGGCAAGTGAGAAGCTTTCTCATTTTGACATCTATTCGTTTAATGTCAGCTATAATCCAATTAAAGATGTTGAAATTGTATTGCACTACAAAGGCAATCAAAGTATATATGGCTGATATTCTGTTTTATGAATTCAACTCGGTATTTTACGTCAAACGCACTCGCCTTTAGTATTCTTTTTAATTTGGGTATGCTGTATTCCATCTCATTCACTGACTTATAGATATTTATACGCTTCTTCTTGCTCCATTATTGCTTCTTCTTCTTCTTCTTCTTCTTCTTCTTATTATTATTATTATTATTATTATTATTATTATTATTAAGTAAATAGAAGTGAAGGGGGTTTAAAATAAGCCTGTCATTTATTATTATTTAAATAAAATAGAAGGAAAGCAATGACTGTACTGTAATTATAGCAAGAATTATTTCCTCAAATCTGTTACTTTTTTATTATAATTGTGATTTAAGTAAATAAACGAAAGGTCAAAGATTGAATCGAGGACATGAACCGAATGAAAAGTTCAAGTTTTTTCTTCTTTTTTCTTGTTCTTCTTATTTGTTCGCTTTTATAGGGAGATCAAAAATTGGCAGCCTATGAGTCATAGTTGTGAAGCGGATATGCATGCATCTAATTGTGTAACAATAACAGAGGTACAGAAGTTGACATCAGGCCTCTTTACAGGGGGAAAGTTTTAAAAGCCTATGATATACAAGTACTACAGTTTGAGTTCAATAACAAAGTCTGGAAAAATAATCAACAAAAAAGGCGAACAAAGAATTTTAATAATAGGAATAGAAGATTTTTACTTTTAAAGTTCTTTGTAAAACCGAACACACACAAACACACACAAACACACACACACAGACACACACACACAGAGACACACACACACAGACACACACACACAGACACACACAAACAAACACTCTCTCTTTCTCTCTTCCTCCTCCTTCCATTATTATAATCTTTTTGTAAATGATGTTTCCTTTCCAAAATTTTCTTTACTTGTACATGAGTTTCTGCTAACGAGCCTCACTTAACGCGCTACTTTAGGATCAAACCTCTAACCTCATGTCTACACGTCCAACCCTCCGAACATTGAGCTATGCCTGCAAGTGATTTGTTGTTGCTGCTGTTGCCTTCTGCAGAGCGGTAGCGCGCGTGATCTTCACCTGCGCAAATCCGGAAGTGATGCAAATGTGACAGGAGGCGCCACCTGCTGGGCGGAAAATGAAACGCGTACGAATGCATCCTGAGGTGACGAAGCTGTTGTCGGATAGGAGTTGAATTTAGCATCTCTTATGCCTTATCTTTTTTTTTTTCGCTTTTTTCTCGATCCATTTCCTTTCTTTCATTTTTTGTTTGAATGAATGAAAAAAAATACTAATTCCCTTCACACACACACACACGCACGCACACGCACACACACGCACACTTATTCATAACCGATTTTTATAGATATTGTCTACTAGCAACATTTTGGGGGCACGATTCACAGCTTGGACTTGACCGGCTTTCAGGGTGATTTGTTTTCTAACAAAAAATAATGGCAGAAAATTGGGATTTTTTGAGGAAACAAAAAAAAATTGCAATATTATTAAGTCTAGAGTTCATAAGCATTTTTTTCTTTCTTTTTTTTTTTCAATATCGCTTCTTTTTTCTGTGGGCTTCAGTTCGCAATTCAGCACGTGTACTTTATTGCAGTCATGTTTACATCTGTCTCTACACATGTGTTATTTTAAATATGTTTATGTTAATGTTGAGGGAAAACGGTGCATGTCTGCATCACACAGCCATACATACATATAAATCTCTTTTTATCTCTCTGTATATATATATATATATATATATATATATATATATATATATATATATATATATATATATGCAGATACAAATAATTTCAGAATTGGGATCATACAAAACGTGACTAATATTTTCTGTGTATTTATTTGAGTGCATGGTTATATAAATAAATTGTACACATACTAAAATTATGCATAATACACATTTGTGTATATATATATATATATATATATATATATATATATATATATATATATATATATTATATAATATTTAGTGGTCAATATATATATATATATTGCAGTTATGTTTACATCTGTCCCTATACATGTGTTATATATATATATATATATATATATATATTTCAAGAGAATAAAATCAAGGTAGAGCTCTATGTACAAGACAGGGCAAGAATATAATATAAAATAAATAATATATCTTTATATGTATGTGTGTGTGTGTGTGCGCGCGCTCGCGCGTGTGTATAACAGAGAGTGCATGTTTATTGTTATGAAGTAGAACTTATTACATTTGATTAATTTGGGGGATGAATCAAAACAAGGCGAGGAGGATGTTTTGGAAATACTCTTTAATAGATATATTTGGAAGTTGGAACAGAAATTTAACTCACACGCACACATACGAGATATAAATCTAAAGGAATTTGTACATAAAATCCGAATGTCTACTTTCGTAGAACCCTACCTAACCCTAAACCGTGGACATAGGGATCTCACAAAAGCTACTGCTTAGAAAGGGTAGTAGCATTTATTCGATTCATTCTTCGATCATTTGATGCCGTACCATATATATATATATATATATATATATATATATATATATATATATATATATATATATATATATATATATAGTGTTGTAGCATACCTCAGGACGATAATGGACATGTCCCCATTCATATAAATACTGTATGTTATCTGGAGTTGGAGAGTTATTGTGGAATTCACTTGACTGGCTTCAGTTGACTCACTTCAGTCGACTACTTCTTCTATGCGCCGCTGGCGAATCTGATGCGTGTTGTTCTTGTCCTAAGTATTAGCGTTCATTTGCCTGATTATTCTGTTCAGTAACCTTCTCTAGGTTACAACATATAGTGAGAGAGGAGAGAAAGAGAGAGAGAGAGAGTGGAAGCTATATATTGGGGATTATGTAAGATGGAATCTTTCAATAAAATTGATTAAATTTCTTTGATTTGTGACTAAAATGCACTAAAAGACAATATTATATAAAAATATATAATATACATATGGACACACAAATATATATATATATATATATATATATATATATATATATATATATATATATATATATATATATATATATATAAAGTATAGGATTGGTGTATACGGAATAAATCCCAATAACCAACAAATACTATTCTTAAAAGAGTGCTCAATACAGAGTTGAAAATATACTTATTTATTCGAAAATTATAACATAAATATGTTATAAAAATCACTACAAAAATAGCCATTTTGTTTCAAAACTTCTGATGTCTTATCAAGTGATGGTGTTGAACATAGAATGTAGGTTCTACATTCAACATCATCACTTGATAAGACACCATAAGTGTTGAAACAAAATGGCTATTTTTGTAGTGACTTTATGATATATTTATGTTATAATTTTCGAATAAATAATTATATACATATATATATATATATATATATATATATATATATGCATACGCACATACGCATACACACTGACACACACACACACACACACATACATACATACATATATATATATATATATATATATATATATATATATATATATATATATATAATAAAAAGTTTAAACACTAATATTCCATGGTATGACCATGGAATATTAGTGTTTAAACCTTTTTATTATATTCTTACTCTGTCCTGGACTTTAGTTCTACCCTCTTGGAATTATTTTTTATACAAATATATATGTATGTGTATGTATGTATGTATGTATATATTTATATATTTTAGATATATGATTGCATATGTATGTGCATATTTACCACTAATATTATCTATATATATATATTATTTTAGGAGAAAAATATGACAAAGTGGAAAATGATTAGGACTTCATTGGACTAAAGTGATGTTTACGTTAATGCCGCTAAACATGAAGGAGGGTGGACGCTGACAATTTAAATTAAACTTTTTTTTTTTCAAATATATGTTTTCTTATATAATCTAACCGATTCTGTTCAGTTTCTTTTTCTTGTTTGTTCATGTTTCCATCACTTTTGTTATTAAATATTCCACATTGTAAAAATTGAAGATCTGACAAGAATGTTGAAATTTTGTAGGAACTGGACACAAATTTATTAGGGATGATCTAGCGATTTTCTATTCATTTGCGCCTTAGTAAATTGCTTTCTCTTGTAATTAGAGTTCAGTTACGTGCCATGCGTGATACACGCTTAGGTGATCATGTATCTTTCGATACATGACTGACGAGGCAGATTTTTCCCCCAGTTGCCATCCAAGGTTATACGACCCGGTCTGTCCTGTTTAAGAAGAGGATTCATACCTTTCCCAAGGTTATTATTATTAGCACGTGTAGTGAAAGTAATGAATTCGACTTGAATTCAAACTCGGCTCTGCGATTTTCCTCAACCCTATTCGCTATCCATTACTCCTTAATTAGAGTAGCAATTCGTAAATCAAAATTATGGTCAAACTCATGACGGTGAATAACTGATGCATATAATATGTTTCTTTGTAAAAGATGTCTTTTGCAATTATATAATCTTTTATTTAAATTTTTAACAATTATTAATTCCTCCTCCTCTTTCAAGTTTTAACTTATTTTTTATTTTGTATTAAGTCTTTTATTGTTTTAGAAGTAACTGTAAAAAAATATGTTAAGTTTAAATAAATTCTTTACTATTGTAGTTGAGATAGAGTTGGTGGGTAGATCAATATATTTTGATTTGTTGGGTTTGTCAAGAAGAACCGATTTTCTAATATGAAATATTTTACAAGCATTTTGTTTCGCGTTGAATATGAAATAATTAAGGTATTAGAGTTATTTAAATGAATTTTCGGTGTATTTTTCTGCTTCATGTAAATATTGAGGGCTACAAATTCAGAGTGCTCTTGAATAGAATCCGATTATTATTCCTGATTTTCTTTTGTTGTTACAGTGAGAATAGAAATTTATGACATCATTCTTATTAGTTGTTTTTGGAGGGACACTTAGTTTTAGGTTATTGCTAGAGCTATTTGGAAAATATAAAGTATTGTTCCTATTTATAAGTGAATTCTATCGCATGTTCGACTTTGTTTAGTTTATCTACAAGGCCAGTTATTTATTTTCGGTGTAATATATTAATAGAGCGTCATAAATATATCGGAAATATGTTGATTGTTAAATAAATTTCCTTAAAATTGTTCTCGACATATATATATATATATATAATCCACAGACAGACTGTTTCGCAACTCATCAGGGTGGTTAGAGAACCAATCGCTTCAGGCCGGGACCGAAAACAGACCGATTTGGTATCAGTCGGAGATTCTAACCCCTAGGCCATCGACGCTCGGCAGAGAAAAGGGTGGATTTTATGTATTTGTTTTTTCATAAACACATGAGAACTTATATATATATATATATATATATATATATATATATATATATATATATATATATATATATATATGACGTAGCCACGATTTCATTAACCATATAGGCGTAAGGCTAAAAAGAATCCCAAAGTAAAATCTCAAATTCTCGTCGAAAATTAGTTAAATATATAAGAAAAATAAATAAATAAAAATAGATAAAATACAATGCTTACAACTTGCGAGCGAATATGTTCCATGATCAGCCATACCCTCCTCTTCTCTTCACAAATTCTTTCCCTCTTTACCTACTCTTCCACCCGTGAACTTTGAAGTGACCCGACGCGAGAATGACCTGGTTCCAAAATTTCGCAATTTTTCAGGCAGTTTTGCCATAAGTGAATTCCAGGCACCATCAGGATCTCCTGCTGCGATTCACGTGATCCGACCATACTAAGCGTGTATTGAAATTTTGGCCATCACACAAACACTTTGTGATTTGCGCTCCATCCTCCTGCGTACCCGGTCAAGGACAAAGAGAACCCACGTGACTGTCTTTGGGGACAGCAAAAATCTAAAAAAAAAGGATTTTCAGTTTCCCTCTGACCAGTGGCAGTTGAACGTCGCTGGGCAACTCGTCCCTATTCCAAATAGACTGCCCACTGAGATGAAGAAGACAGCAAAGTCTGTCGACTAGGGGTGAAAGGACTGCTATGAAAATGGATCGACCCAACGAAACGCCTGTACGAGATGTTGTCGGCCCCGAACGCTTCCGAAAGAAAAGGAACCCAGGAAAATTGCTGGCCGACCAAAATATTGTTGTAGCATAAGAACTCTCGCTTCGGTGAATCAGAATTTTGTGTGGAAATATCAACTCAACTGACAGATAAGTGTATTCTCTTGGTTTGATCTTTTTATATATATATATATATGTATGTGTTCGCTCGCGCCTTCTGTCCTTTCATGGTCCCCGCCCCCTTTGTTAAATGAATTTTCGTTTTTTTTTCTTTCTTTACCTGTTTATATATGTATAAATAAATGTTTTATTTTGAAATCCATCGTCTTGTGTCTGTTCTTCGTTGATTCCCTTGTGTCGCTTCCATTTCTGAGTGAAGGCCGAGAAAGGATCCCACGTTTTCCTTTTTTTTAGCCCGTGGTTCATCTATATGCTACAAGTTCGTAACAATATATATATATATATATATATATATATATATATATGATCAAAATAAACGTTTTTATAAAAGTTTTCTTAACCTTCCCTGCTTCCATCCTAGTCATTAGCTATTTTGTTATCAAAATCTAAGACCGTAATGGTGATTATAGATTTTACCTTTTCTTTTTTAATCAGTTTTGAAATGTTGACGTTTGTGCGTTACGACAATGTCGCATAGCTGAAAAAGCGACAGGTGTGTCCTTCTTGGGAAAGAATGCATCAATACATTCAAAATTCCAGTAACATGATTGGAGAAAATGTTATTAATCTTTGGATTCATTTAAAGAATAACAATTCTCCAATTGCAATGGTTGGCATGCAATTATCTGCGAGGGATAAAGATTTCGAAACGTTGATCAACAAAGGTAAAACAAATATATTTATGGTATTTGAAAGCAATTTTGAATAAAGAAATACATTTTCTTAGAAACGCTCAAAGAAATAATTGCGACAACTGATGAGATGGCTATACTGAATAACAATACAATCAGTCCATTGACTGCATAGAAGCCCTATAAATATCCAAGAGTAGTTGCGTATGGCTCAGAACATGAAGGAACGAAAGCAAAAATAACAAAGAGCTATCTTACATGAATTTATTTCATAAGATGAATACAAGAAACTAAATTTAATATCAGAAACATGATTAGATAAACAGCGGTGAAGTGAATTAGAGAAATTATACACAAAAATGAGATGGCATGAAATTCATCATCATCAAAGATTTAGACTCAATAGAATTAAACATACGTCCAAATAGGCGTGGCAAAAGGCTGTGAAAAGAACTCAGACAACACGAAATAAAAAGAAAGTACAAACAAGTGGATAGGTAAAAAGTCAACAAAATGAGAAGCTAAAAAACAAAATAAAGACTTTAAAAGGTTAATAGAATAAATCATAGATCAGATTCCACAAAGGACACACAAACAAAGAAACAGAATCCTTTCTCATTGCAGCCGCGAATCAATGCTTCAGGATAAGCTACATTAACTCAAAGGTCAACAAAATGTAGACTAGTAAAATGCTGTCTCTGCCAGGCAAACCACATCACCCGTGAATATCGCAAACTGAAAGAGAACTCAGAAAGATTAAAAAATTAGACAAATCGTCCGTATACGATGCACAAATGTTTTTAAATGCCTCTGTAGCAGTGCTAGCTTTTCGTAATTCAAAAGTAAACAGTGTTGAAACTCAACTGTTAGTAAAAAAAATTTGTGGTCCTTTAGTTTTAAAGGGTTTCTGAATACACATGTGTTCTTCTTCCACTTAGTGCCAGTAAAAAAAAAAGTTTGCTTTGGGGATCCAGTCGTGGAGTAACTAACATAAATTTAGCCATGAGAAAAGTATGGAGAAAGCATACAGAAGCCAATGAGATTGTTTCTGAGTTTTCTTAATGTTCATGGCAAAGTTGAATCTCATTGGGAATTGAAATCACTTCAAAGGGGAATTCTGTTGGAATTACGAAAATCCTGACAATGAATTTTTGTTTTCGATGACATATTGGAGAAGCTGCTTGACAGCTTGGCGAAATCCTTCAGAAATCTGTTTTTGGACAGTTGAGATTTCTAAGAAGCATAGTGAGTGTCCTGATCTTTAGTTCTTGCTTATGAAATGAAAGGGTATGCAGATCAAGATAGTTGAGGTTTGTAAACAGACTAAGAAGTTACCGGAATTTTGTCAGTTTACTTGTTCAGTTGAACCTCTTTAGGGATATGTTTCAATAGTTTTGAGTTTATGCCTTCGATTGTACCATTATTTGGCGTAAGAATGCATCGCTTACATGGCCACTTAGAGTTTATATAGTTCAGGAACATTTTTTTTTTAAGTGAAAAATGAAATTTAATTCTGAAATACTCAGAATATTTATCTGAAAACGTTTTTGAGCGTTACACAACTTTTAAAGACAAAGCGGAAATAATTGTTTTGTTTTTTGTTTTTCAGATTGAGCGCTAATCAACTCAAATGACCTCGAGTATCTGCATCACTGGTTCTATCATCTTTTTTCTGCTCAAAATTACGTTGCATCCCCACCAATTCAATTAAATTGACCCTCCCACACCCAGAATGAAAATGAAAGAATTCTATTTCCTATTACTTCCCCTCTAGAATTTTCGAGGTCAAAAGTATTTTGTACTTTATGAATAACGCAATATTTCACTCCATTTTACTAGAAATTGGTTAATTTAGTTTGAAATGGCGTGCTGCACTCTTTGATGATTTCTTGTGAACTTGACGACCCCATATATCATATCCGGGTGTTTGTATGTCTCCATACCCCAAAATAGGTCAGTGGGACTTGTGAGATAGTGACACAGGCATATGAGATCTGTCTGAAAAGTAACAGGACTGGCCTCACAAATAATTTCAAAGTTATCTCCCTCTAGTCTAATGCAGTTTTCCATCCTTTTCTGTCACGCTTCTATGCACAGCTGCAAGGATTCTTCTTGAATGCCCCTCAGCTCAGTCGTTACGGCACTCTTGAGGGCCTCCACGCCTTCAAAACAGGTCACCTTGATGATCACCTTGAGCTTGGGGAAAGGAAAATGTCATACGGAATAAAATCAGGTGAATAGGGAAGTTGTTCTAGTACGGCGATGTCCTTCTCTGCCAGGAACTGCTGGATGCTCAAAGGATTGGGTGCAAGTGCATTGTGGTGGTGGTGGTGGAGCAGCCATGATTTGTTCTGCCACAACTCTCGTCTCTTTTCGCGCACTGGCGAAGCAAACGTCGCAGGATCTCTTTTGTAGACTTATTGATTGATTATCTGACCCTGTGGTAAGAACTCACTGTGGACGATGTCCATAGCTCAAATAGCTCACCCGGTTCCTTTACTTTTCAGGCAGCCTTCGTATGCGAAAAAAAAAAAAAAGAAAAAAACAGCATAAAACTTAAAAAGTTGTGGTTGAGATTATATCAAAAATACAAATCTTCGTTTTTCGCTGACCATAAATTTTGGAAAGTTAACTACACATTCACTGCTCGCTAGCCCTACAGCTATTTTCGGGTGTTTAATTCTATGAAGTGAACTTGGAGAATATAAAGAATTTATGATTCAAATGTAGAAGACATGGTTGAATAACAAACATATTTCCAACTGAATAGGAATGCCGAGGTTTTACTGACAACTTCACTTTCAGTTTCGGCATATCTTACTGAATTTGGTAAATCGGAAGACAGAACCAGAAATCGTGCAGAAACTGCATCTGTATGTAGGATGCGGCATTTTAAAACTTTGACAAATAACCAATAAAGTCCGAATAGGTATTGTTGTGGAGTATTCGTTTGGCAATAACGATGTTTAAGATCGGAAACTCTGTCTGATCCTCGGGTTATCATTTAATGAAGGTTTTGTTGGGATTTACTACTGCTGTTTTCGCAGCAGTAGGTATATGAATTGTGTGATTCACTGAGAAATGTCAGAAAATATTTATTCTTTTGGCGGGTAGAGAAAGCAATAAGGAGAAAGATTTTACGTATTTGAGCAAGTAGCTTTTTTACAATAGCATTTCTGCACAATTCTAAATGTTTTGAAATTTTAATGTTTAACGTATCTAATGTGTAAAAGCATTTACGAACATTTTGAGATATGGGTTGGTTGAAAGAGAAGATGGCGAAGGAAGAACAGAGACGAAAGAGAAATCAAATAAAAAAGAGAAGTAATAATATTTAAATGAAAAATGCACGAGAACAGCTTTAAAGGGATGGAGAAGAATAAGGAAGCGATTCGACTGAAAGAGAAAAATGGATAACATTCATTAACAAATAGAATGAAAAATGAAACGTCAAAGAAAGAAAGAAAGAAAGAAAGAAAGAAAGAAAGAAAGAAAGAAAGAAAAATTGGGCCTTCTGAAAAGCGTTTGTTGCTGATTTTCAGAAAATGGCGCAAAGAATGTTGAAAAAGCGTCGAGAAAGCACAGGAACACAGAAGAACCGATGTTATAGCTCCGAAAGTAAATTAATCTAAAAATTAAATCGTAAAATACAGATAAAAAGTAAATCTTGTTTTTTGTTTATTACTTTTTGTCTGAAGGCGGGGGTGGGGGAATAGTGGAGATAAGGCATTCTAGTTTCGAAAGAGGAGCTGAATCCGGACGGGTGTAAAGGTGGGGGTTGCCAATTTTGTAACTTTAGAAGGGATGAATTTCAATAGCATTGTCGCCGGTTTTTCGATTTTGTGATTTGGGTGCTCGACTAACAAGTCACTGCCACTGATTCCCTGCGTTTTGTATTTTTTTTTAATATTTTATTACTGAAAAAAAAAAAGACCTGTTATTATGTTGAATGTCTGCATTATTATCCGTTAAACCGGATAAGTTGTGTTCGTTGATAAAATCATTTAGACTTTGCTCCCCTTTCTCACTGTAATGGCGAAACTAGAAATGCAAATATGGAAAACAAAGAGGGAAATTGGGTTGGGAAAAAAAGAAAGGAAATATAATAACAGTGACGGGGAGGAAATTATAAAGAAGGACAATTAGGCTAAAAAGAAAGAAAGAAAGAAAGAAAGGAAGAAAGAAAGAAAGAAAGAAAGAAAGAAAGAAAGAAAGAAAGAAAGAAAGATCAAAGAAAAGCCAAATAGAAAGAAAGAAAGATCAAAGAAAAGCCAAATATAAAGAAAAAAAGAAAGAAAGAAAGAAAGAAGTTGGAAATGAACAAATAAATAATGAGAGATTAATGTTAGGTATATATGTCGTTGATTAAAGATAAGAAATTCTAAATAAGTGCAATAAGATCACAAAATCCAAGTCTAAGATGCCAAATAGAAATAGCGAAAAAAAAATTGAAAGAAATTTGTACAAAGACAAAAAAATGAAAGCATGAAATGAAATTTAGAATAAAAGAAAAAAAAAGATGGGGTCGAATTGATTTTCTGAATGTAGAGGAAGTCAGGATGAAGGTCGACCGGAAGAAGGTTGGAGGTAGACCGAAAAAGCCGGAAATTTCACAATGAACAAAAAAAATTGCAATGAATCAGTTGTGGAAAATAAGTTTCAAGTCCTTTTATCTCCTCCTTGGTTTGGTAAAGACCGACGCTGAATTAGAATCAAAGAGACAGATAGAGGACAGGGTGAAAAGAGAGAGGCGAGGTATAGTTAGAAAGAGAAAGTTATAAATATTAACATATTCCCCTGCCATCTTGAATTCTTAATTGAATATGAAATGACGCAATCGAGTCACGTGACGTCTGAAAATAAAATCAAACTTCAAATTAAAACAATTCATCGCTATTTTAAAGAGCCGATTAAAGCATTAGCCCCTTGAATCTACATTTCTTGCCCCGTCACATCTCACTGCTTGTGATGATCATTGTAAACACTATAAAATCTATAAATCAATACCATCAAGTAACTACATATGTTTCGATATCAAAAGCAGTATGAATAAATATTGTGTTCACTGATATATATTCATATGTAATATGAAGTAATAATAATAATGATAATAATAATAATAAATAATTTAAATAATAAAAGTAATAAAAGTTTAAATACAATGTAAATCGAAGAAAAAATAATGACATAATCAAGATGTTAATATTCCACACCACATCGAACAAAAGTTTAGGAAGGAAATCCCCCATCAGTACTAGAAAGAGTGATAACTACTACTGGAATTGAGAAAAGAGTTTTCTTCGGAAAAAAATTGTTTTAAAAGAAAGATTTTATAAATTTCAATCAAAAGTAGTACTGGCTGCTTGGTCAAATGAATGCCAAATGTTTCCTTGTAGGGAAACGGCTAATATTTCCTTTACCATTACTCTTCTCACTCCTTAATAATGTTATCTTTTTCTTATATTCTTTCACACTCAGTAACGCCCCTTGCATCATAGTAGGTTTATTGCCTTTCTTGGGGTGAAATGATCAAAAATACAAATCAATAACACCGATCATAAAATTACGAGTATTTGAATTATTTCAAGCCAAAGAGATTTTTTGCCAAGAAATTGCTCACTAGAGAACTAAATCGCCAATAGTCAATAAATTAATAAAAATTCAACCGACTTATCTTTCAACCTACTTCAAAGTTTCATTCATCAGGAACAGAGGAACAGAAATGTTTTCGCAAATAAGGAAAATATTTAAACAGATTCCTAATAACTATTTATGTTCTTCCACGGTGTAGGTGATGACTCTCCACAGATTTCTTTACTTTATTGTAAATTACCATTTATTCTTGGGAAAGATAGTGGAATAGTTTCTCGTTGTTTTCTCCACTTCTCTTCCAAAGGTAGTCATTTTAAAATAGACCCTCACTTTAGCTAAATATACTAGCACATGTAGCATATGTTCTGTTTCAGTTGGCAATGTTTTGGTCTTTCTTGTTGTTGTTCAATGACTTTAATGCTCCTCCATCAATCTGCCACTGAGCTGTTGACAATTTCCGAAATGATAAATTAAATATTCTTTCCGGTAGAAAAATAATGGTTTTTTTGAAAAATTTTACTTTAAAATTGAGCAGATTTCAGTACTTAGTGTATCAGTTTTGTATTGAAAGTTATTACCAGTAGTCAGGAATAAGGGTAGAATTGAACTAGGATAGATAGATAGATACATCAACTGACTGGGACAGACAGATAGATAGATAGATAGATAGATAGATAGATAGATAGATAGATAGATAGATAATATTTATGAGTCCTAGTTTAGTTTGACACAGCTCTGTGAACATTTGTATGTTCCACACACATATTTTCATTGAGGTGACTGTCAAGAACGATAATGAACGTTTGATGGTGCTGAGTTTGGAAAAGCCGTTTAGCAAAGTCCTTACTCACCTACTCTATTCTCTGTAATCGATCATGGCATGACAGTGATGAGACCTTTTTTCAAGTCATCTGACGAGGAGAAAGAGCACAAAGTGAAGTGGCTTTACATTTTTCCCAAAGCATTACTGAGAAGTTAACGAACTTGAATAAAAAAATTTGAATTCGCTTTGCTGAATTTGTTTGATGTGCTGAGGACCGTTACAGTATCTCACACCTCCTCCAGACTTGAAATCAGTAGCAGAATGGTGTGGGTATGCGGCATGGATTTTGATTCGGTGTGGGGACAGCCTTAATGTAAACGTTTACTCTCCCAAGTAAAAGTGAGCTCAGAGTGGTTCGGTGTTGTCCTGTATTGTATTACTCTTGTGTTGTATTGAAATTCTAATTCCTTCAGTGGCTGTCTATTGTTTGCAGTTAGATAATACGATGAACTTTGTTGTCGGGCCAACGAAGTGTGACTAGAGACTGATTGAAGCATGTCACTGAAGTCGGTCACTCAGACTCGGGATCGTTCAGGCGTAAAAAAAGTTGACAAGAACTGCATTGATGTTTTAATACAAGAAAATCGATTCAGCTTTATTCTACGTTTTTGCGAGTCTGGATTCATTTGATTTTCTTTGATTTTTTTTCCTTTTCTTTTTCTTCTTCTTTTTATTTGTCTTTCGATTTTTTCTTTTATTGATTTTTTACATTTTTTTAACAATTTTGTCTTTTCAAGTGTCGGGACGGCCTTGTTTCAAGCTGAAGAGAATTTGGGAAAAAAAAGAGAAAAGTACAGGTAAGAAGAGAAATAATACATCAAAGAAAAAAGCAAGAAAGAAACAAATAAAGGAAGAAAAACAACAGACAAGAAAAGCAAATTGCAAATAATCGTACAATTCAGTTTCATGTAAAATAAATTGAATAAGCATAAATTATGTCCGATTTAAGTTTTTGTTTCAGTCAAGTTGGTCTAGTCAATGGTATGCCACAATAAGAATACAGATTGAGAGTAATACTTTAAGCATCATATTCTTATTTTGGGGACTACTCCGTTTTGATTGCAAGGAAAAGACACATCAGAAACGCTGTTTGGTTTCAGTAAAAGGAAAAAAGAAAGAGAAGACAGTGGTAGCCATAACGATGTGAAGTGTTTAATATCTATTTCAGTGAAATGTAAAGACTTTGTCTTATATATATACAATTTCTAAATTCTGAAGAACGATGTCGATTTTATGTAGTAGATATTCTAATAATTCTCAGAATAATCATCCGTCTTGTGACGTAGCAGCCCTCATACGAGTGAACTATGAGTGCCTGTCCTTTTGAAGATGATGCATACAGCAATAAGATTCGGTGAACTGAAAGCGTCCAGTACAAGCAGGGAGACCATGTCGCGAAAACGCACACGACTTATTTTATTCAGGTAGACACTTCTACCTGAATAAAATAAGTCGTGTGCGTTTTCACGACATAATCCCTTGCGAGGAGTCAAATTGTAAACACACAAGAAGCTGGATGGTCGTTTCGCAAAATTTACGTGCAAGTTGGATGTGATACGTCGGTGATGCAACAATATTAGCAACAGAGCTCGAATTAATATACCTACATTTTTACAGAAGAGCTGAGAGCAAATGCAGTACTAGGGCTGTCAATACTGGCCATTAGAAATTGTTTCTTTTCAGCAAGAATACGGTCCTGCATGAGTCTAGATAGATTTCACATCAATCACCGTCTTACATGTCACCAATGTTATCGCGCGAAGCTCATCAGGATTATTGAATAGCTCTGTTTGGTATTCAGTGATGAAAAAATGTTCTGCATTTTATTCAAGTGATTTACATTTATGTACAAGAAGTTTTACCTGTGGAGTGACATCATTCACGACACACAGACACAATCCCAATACACATGATGCTAGGCGCTACAGGTTAAAAGTATCACTTTATAACGGAAATGTTGAACAGCGTTTAATTGGCCCACCAAACATCTTATGTTGTATTACATCAACAGGTGTAAAGTGGTATGGAATAATGTATCGCAGAATGGTATTCGCCATTCTAACGATCGTATACATGTTATAACACAGGCCTTTGTTAAGTGTATTAATATGGGGTCTGCGTGTTGTTAACACCTTTATTTTGAAATCTGTAAACGTATTGATCGGTATATATGTTCATTTACTCTAATCCAGTAATATTACATAGATATTTAAGCTGGATTGAATTGAAATATATATTCAGGATATTACAATTTTATTACTCCACTCGATCGAAGTGTATATATAAAGCATTGTTGCAAAATTATGTCTAATCAAATAATTCCTATGATCTTAAGACGCGTAGAGTACCTCGCGTCTTTCCAACAAATTAAATAATATATATATATATATATATATATATATATATATATATATATATATATATATATATACCAGGATTAGATTTAATAAATTAAAAGGATCCTCTGATAATTGAAAATAAAAATATTATTAAATCAATAAAAAAAAATATTATTAAATCATTATTAAAAATAAGTAGACATAATTTGTCTTAATTATTTAATGGGACATGTCTTAATGAAAATATGCTACTAAAATATACGCAATTTAAATATATGTGTGTGTGTCTGCGAGTGTGTGTGTGTGTGTGTGTGTGTGAAACAGTAAAAAACAAATTAAGGGTACACACAACACAAAAATAGTTTTTTTCCTTATTTCCAACAGACAAACATGGGAAATCCATACACACTTGAAGGTAGAATAACAGGTATTTATTTGTATGTCTAAATTTAGAAAACCCTTCAAACTTTTTCTTCGGTAGATTGTCTTGCTGAAGGGATTCTAAAATGGATCACTTTCCTTCTAGACACAGCCACTAGTTTTTAAATCCTGCCTGGCAAACATATGCTATACTTAAAATAATACACTCTACTTTTTTCTGCCTTTATCTTTCAATTTTCACGAACAGAGAGACAGTGTTATATAATGTCTTCATGGAAAACAAGTTTTGTGGTTGTAGTATCTTTGTTTCCACGATCATTGAGTAGCGCTAGTGTAGAAAATGTCGGACTATCCTCTTGCTTTCACTGTTACCTGAAAAACTATATTAAGAGTTAAAAAATTTCCCTGTACATAGCAGCTATTTCTGTTCCTGCAGTTACAGTTGGGTTGAATTTGTATCACACGTAGGCAGCATCTTGATGGTATGTATATTTTTTAATTTATCGGATTATGTTGGAAAGCCGCGTGGTACTCTAAGCGTCTTAATATCATAAGAAACCGTGACACAAGAGTTGGATAGGCCAAAGATTTCATTCAGATTATTAAGTTAATTTTCTACTTAATAAACGAATGAACCCTTGGCCAACCCAATATTTATATTGTGTATCGTTAATAAGTTATTATTGACATAGTAACTGTCGTTATGACATTGATCCTTGGAAGGATTTACATTGAGGATACATGATAGCAAGCTCTTTTTTAATCAAATCTGACACTGATGTATTATTACATACATATATATTTTTATTACTTCAAACTAGTCCTGAATATGACGCATTGCCTCTGATCGGGAGATTGGAGGTTTTGAGGGACGTGGAACCAATTCTTAATTGCTATTATTTCCAGGTCCACCCTGATTATTTCCAGGTCCACCCTGTTAGGTTTTCATCTATGAGCAAAGAATGAACCCCAAACCAAAACTAAATACTATGAAAGAATAAAAATACCAATATTTTTATATATAAAAAAATTACCAACAATACCTATTTATAATGAAATAACCAACAATAAATTTTATCTGTAGTTGAAAACTGTATTCAAAATATTTAGATTTCAGCATTAAATAATTCATAGAGGTTTATATCCGTTAATCAAAATCAACCAAACCAATCACTTCAAACGAAACTGAGCAGGTATGGGCTTTCAGAAAAATATATCTGAATGTGGAAGTGTGCGTTCCTTAAAGAGGAAAATGGAAACTTACCGAAAGTGGGGACGCAGGTTCAATCCCTGCTGGAGAGTGCATTTTCTTTATTAAAATTTCTCAAATGCGCAGAACAATAGACGCAATGTACATTGTTTAAAATTTAAAAAAATAAACATGGGACGTCTATTTCAATTATGAAATATCCACTCTAATAACGTTTGAAATAATAGAAAAAAATAAACCCATTAATTTTTTAGAAAATGCATACATACATATACAGAGTGCAATGGATAAATTGCCGTCTTAATTACGTAAAAATGAAAATAACACTGACATCTCATTTTAACAGATATATTTACCAAAATTACACAAAAATATCTTGATATGGTGAAGAGTAAATTTATTCAATAAAATCGCCATTGGCTTTAACCACGGCCTCCAGACGACTTCGGAATCTCCTGCAACTCTGAACGGTCTCCTTTTTTAAGTTGGTGAATTCTACCATAATCTTTGTCTTCAGTTCATCTTTGGTGTTACAAGGAATTTCATTAGTCTCTCGCTCAACTGCGTCGCAAAAATAATAATCGCAGGGAAGGGTGAGGGTACAGTCTGTTGAGTTGGGTAGCCGGATATAAGTGGGGTTTTTTTGTGTGTGTGTGGCCACAGAAATTATCTGACAGACATGACTGGGTTCTCCTGCTTGTATGACATAATGAAGATTCCTGTTGCCAGACTTGCAGCGACCACCCTCTTGACCCAGTAATATCTACTCAAGGCACTTGAGGTAGGCCTCAGTGTTGAGTGTGAGGCCTTTACCAACAAATTCGGGAGTTCATTTCTTATCAGAACAGAGTGAGATTTCCAAGCTGCTGTACTATCCGAATCCTCTGCACTATTCCCCTGATTGACACCCAAACAATCTGAAATGGTCGTACTGGAGCTTCCGGCGTGAATGCCAAGCGGTACAGCATGCCGTTTCCTAATTTCTGGCGGAGTAAATTGCGTCATGGTGCTTTTTTCTC